ATTATGTACTGTGACTGTTGTGTGTTTTATTAACTGTGACTGTACAGCACTTAGTTCCTGTGGTTGTTTAAGTGCTTTATAAATAAAGTTGGTATAGTTTGGTGAATAATTCTTTAATTGTATCATAAATAATCAAAATTTCACCTCTATGTTGTATAGTTCAAATAAACTTTGCTGTGAAATTACTCTTCCTTTTAAACTATAATTTTCCATCTTTAAAAACCTGGTAAATTTGATTAGCTGTGCTGCAGCTCATGCAWWCACACAAGTRTGTACTGAATGTGAAGAAAAGCCAGGCTGTCTGCCTTTATTAATACAGAATGAGTGAAATTAATTAATGGGGCCCACTTTATTAATAATGTGTTTTAAACTTTAGATTTTTGGGTAAAATATCAAGTATGTTGAAGTAAATAAGGTCAAGTCCGATTCAAGTCCCAAGTGTAAAAGTCCAAGTCAAGTCACAAGTCTCTGAACATTTTTTTCAAGTCTTAAGTCATATATTATTAAGACTGATTCGAGTCCAAGTCACGTGGCTCAAGTCCCCACCTCTGGGGACTGAAGGAGAGCAACTTCTCYGTAGGTTTTATTGGTAAATTACTAAATTTGTGAAGGCTTGAACAAATAAATGAAAAACAGAAGAAGATATCAGAAATTCTGCTAGAAAAAAAATTAAATCTAAGCGAGTGTCTTAAAAATAGGTCAAAACTTGGCATAATATAAAAATGATTTGATTCTAGTGGAGAAAAGTTCATTTAAGCTTCATTACATTTTAAATCTCAGAACAGATAATGAATATTATTTTACTGTTTAGGACTACGCAAATAAAAAAGAACAAATAGTGAAAAGATTACCACCTCATTTATATTAAGTGTCTTTATTATGTGCGCTCTATGGCGACACATTATCAGGAACTTTACTTTTATTACCCAGCAGCACCAGAAACCCACGTATGATGAGTCACTGTCAGGCTTTCTGCTTTTTTTACTGTAAGTTCAAAAACTAAATTTACCTTAGAATTAATAAGCATGAGACCAGCTTCATGCTGTAAAATAAGTTCTCTTATTGAAAGAGAACCTCTTTAAATCAAACTCAAACCTAAATTCTTTCTGTTATTTAGCTCCAGGAAGTTATTTTAGGTGCAGGCAGGTGTCCTGTGGTATCCAGACGCCGAGGCAGCACTCCTTGCTGAGAGTCCACACACGAAGCTCAACATTTGTCGTCAGAAAAACGTGAAATAAACAACAATAGAATTTGATTTCTTGTCAATACCTGCCTTCAGTGTCAGAAAAACAGTTGTCAACGTCCTGTTTATTTTCACAAAAGGTTGCTGATTGTGATTTTTAGATTTTGTCTTTTATCCTTTCAACTTGTTTTTGCTCATAAGGAAATGACTAATCACTTTTTTCAACAAATAAGTAAAAAAAATGGAAAGCAAAACAGTTATTTATTTTCAACACATCATATTTATGTTAGGAGAAGCTTTATTTTAAAGGTAATTTAAATAGCCATTCATAAAAACTGAGACAAGAAGTGTTTTCTATTAAAGGTCTAATAAATAAAAAATAAATTATTTAACATTTTTATCCTCTTAAAATTATTTTTTTTCTTTTATTATCCACAAAATTCTTCATCAATATCACAAATGATTTTCATTTATGCCTTTGGCTCCTTTTGTTGTTTATTTGTCTTCTTTTTACAAAAATAAGTTGATGAAATCTGCGTCTCTCCGGTTTTTTTCGACACGTAGACTTGGGTACTTAYGCTCACCTGTTTGTCTCTTGCAGATACGATTATGTAGAGATCCACGATGGAAGCACTGAGAACACGGACCTGCTGGGCAAGCACTGCAGCAACATCGCCCCCGCACCCATCATTTCATCCGGACCCTCGCTCCACATCAAGTTTGTGTCAGACTACGCCCACCAGGGGGCGGGCTTCTCGCTGCGCTACGAAATCTTCAAAACAGGTAAAGGAATGCTAGTTTCTGCTGCTTGTGCTGTTTTCTATAGAAGCTGAGAGCTAAATTATAAATATATAAA